TAAATAATTGGCCCATGGTTAATAATGTTGACGATGATGTTCATGATTGTATACTTATTATATACCCAGCATTGTGCTAAGTCCTTTATATACATTATCTCATTTAAGCCTCACCACAAGCCTATGAGGTAGGTATTATCTCCCTTTTACAAATAAGCAGGGTAAGGCTCACAGAGATCAAAAGGCTTGCAGAGTTAATAAACAGTGCTGTTGAAATTTGATCCCAGGTCTGTTTGACTCCAAATCCCATTTCTTCTTGTTCTGTTGCCCTTGCAGCAATTGCTCTTTGGGACCCTAAGGTGGCCGTGCATGGGGATGCTCAGTGGTGGACTATTTTGTGAAATCTTAGGTTCCAGTCTCAGCTGGTTTTCTCTAATGAGTTTACTTGTGTCACAACTCCTCCTTCTGTTTCATAATCTAAGCTCTGAAAAAAGCTAAGTAAAGCATAAAGTCCTAGGACCGTATGTGTGATTAGTACTGCTCTATGACTCTACAAACTGATGTTGGCAGAGGCATTTCAAAAGTAGGCAAAAGAACCAGTTGTTGGGGCAAGGTGGGGCTATAGGGCATCAGTTTGTGGGGGTGAGTAGCTACATGTCCTGTGTGAAATTACAAAATCAATTTTTGATGGATAAAAAGAGACCTTAGGGGTATTCTAAATCCAACCTTCTCGTTTTACAGAGAAGAGTTAAGGGCCAAAGGTCACACAGTGGGCAGAGGAATCAAGAGACCACACATCTCCCTTGTCTTAATTTATCACTTTTTTCACTACAGCAGTGGTTTTCAAAGTGTGGTCTCCAGATCAGCAGACTCAGCATCACCTGGGAATTTCTTGTTGTTGTTGTTTTTAGTTGCGGACTAGTGGATTCTGACTCAAGGCAACCCCATGTGTTACAGAGTATAACTGCTCCACAGAATCTTCTTGGCTGTAATCTTTTTTTAAAGTTTTATTTATTGTGTTGTTGTTGTGAATATACACGGGATATACACAGCAAAACACACAACAATTCAGTGGTTTCTACACGTACAGTTTAGTGACATTGACCACATTTTTGGAGTTGTATAAGCATTCTCACCCTCCTTTTCTGAGTTGTTCCTCCCCCATTAACATTAACTCACTGCCCCCTAAGGTTCCTATCTAATCTTTTGAGTTGTTGCTGTCAATTTGATCCCATATAGATGGCTCTTAAAAGCATAATGCTCAAGGCAGACATTTTTTTTTACTGGTTAAGTTAAACTATTGTCTGGTTTTAAGAACACTTTGGGGGACTTTTTTTTCTGTACTTTAGATGAAGGTTTACAGAACAAACGAGCTTCTCATTAAACAGTTCATACACATAATGTTTTGTGACATTGGTTACCAATCCCATGACATGTCAACACTCTCACTTCTGAACCTTGGGTTCCCTATGACCGGCTTTCCTGTCCCTTCCTGCTTTCTAGTCCTTGCCCCTGGGTTGGTGTGCCCTTTTAGTCTCATTTTGTTTTATGGGCCTGTCTAATCTTTGGCTGAAGGGTGAACCTCAGGAGTGACTTCATTACTGAGCTAAAAGAGTAACTGAAGGCCATACTCTCGGGGTTTCTCCAGTCTCTGTCAGGCCAGTAAGTCTAGTCTTTTTTTGTGAGTTATAATTTTGCTGTACATTTTCTCCAGCTCTGTCCAGGACCCTCTATTGTGATTTGTCATGGATTGAATTGTGTCCCCCCAAAATATCTGTCAACTTGGCTAGGTCATGATTCCCAGTATTGTATGATTGTCTATCATTTTATCATCTGATGTGATTTCCCTATGTGTTATAAATGCTATCACCATGATGTAATAAGATGGGTTAGCGGCAGTTATATTGATGAGGTCTTCAAGATTAGGTAGTGTCTTAAGCCAATCTCTTTTGAGATATAAAAGAGAGAAGCGAGCTGAGAGACATGGGGACCTTGTACCACCAAGAAAGCAGCACTGGGAGCAAAGCACGTCCTTTGGACCTGAGGTTCCTGCGCTGAGATTCTCCCAGACCAAGGGAAGACTGATGACAGGGACCTTCCTCTGGAGCCAACATAGAGAGACGCCCTTCCCCTGGAGCCAGCGCCCTGAATTTGGACTTGTAGCCTACTAGACTGTGAGAGAATAAATTTCTCTTTGTCAAAGCCATCCACTTGTTATAGCAGCACTAGATGACTCAGACATGATTCCTGTCAGAGCAGTAGGTGGTGGTAGCTGGGCACCATCTAGTTGTGCTGGACTTGGTCTGGTGGAGGCTGTGGTAGTTATGGTCCGTTAGTCCTTTGGACTAATCTTTCCCTTGTATCTTTAGTTTTCTTCATTCTCCCTTGCTCCCCACAGGGTGAGTCCAGTGGAGTATCTTAGATGGCTGCTCACAAGCTTTTAAGACCCCAGATGCTACTCACCAAAGTAGAACGTAGAACATTTTCTTTATGAACTATGTTATGCCAATTGAGCTAGATGTTCCCCAAGACTATGGTCTCAGAGGATATTTTTTGTTTAAGGTTTTAGTATTATCTCAGGGCAATAGTTTCAGGGGTTCATCCAGCCTCCATAGCTCCAGAAAGTCTGCAGTCCATGAGAATTTGAAATCCTATTCTGCATTTTCTCCCTTTTGATCAGGATTCTTCTACAGAATCTTTGATTAAAATGCTCACTAATGGTTCTTGGCTGTAATCTTAACAGAAGCAGATTACCAGACCTTTTCTTCTGTGGTACTACTGGGTAGGTTGGAACTGACAACTTTAGGCTAGCAGTAGAGCACAGTGTGTGCCTTAGGAATTTGTTAGAAATGCAACTTCTCGGGCCTCACCCGAGACCCACTGAAACAGAAACTGTGGGATTTGGGGCTCAGTATTCTGTTTAACAAGACCTCTGCAGGATTCTGGTGCACGCTCAGGTTTGAGAACCACTGCACAGTAAGTATCTGCTATATACTCTACAGCATGTTGTAGGAGGAAGAGAGGGAGATTTAAGTTCCCGTTATAGAAGCTCTTCTTCCTCTTTGTTCCCAGGTGAAGGGCTGAAAAGTCTCAGTATAACAACTGCCTGAGGTCTACAGTACACTCCTTGAGACAGGGAGTTTGGAGTCTGCCCTATCCAGCCTGGGGCTTTGGCAAGCAGTGGATGAGCCTATGGAACAAATGCCGGCCTGGGGTTAGTGGTCTGGGTGTGCTTCCAGGCAGGAAGAGAATAGACACCGTCTAGACCATTCTGTGCTTGAATGAGGCCATGGGGGAGAGGGTCTGGGCAACCCGATACTATGTCAGGTTCTGCTTCCCTCCCCAACTCGGGCAGAGCAGACAGGAATCAATAGCAGGTTTCACTCTACACCGTCCGCACGATCTGTGTCCCTCCGCTTTTCTGAACTGTGAGAGGTGGCGGTCAGACTCTGCACTGGATTTCCTGAAGGCAGGAGGCCTGTGGAAAGACGGCAGAGGGCAGGGGGCTGGCAGAATGCAAAGATGTATGGAAGGCACCTGCGTCCTCCTGCTGAAGAGTTTTTTACTTTATCCAAGGGAAGCTAATATCTGAGGCGCCAAAAGAATACAAATTTATTTGCACTTTAGCAGTTATCTCTGGCAGGTAGGCTGGCCAGGAAGCAGGAAACCTATGGGCAGTTATCGCAGTAATTGGGTTGGGGACAGATTTAAGAGAATACGGATTGGGATATACAGAGGAGTGGGGAGGACATGGAGCCCCAGCTTGGACTTGGTGAGTTGGAGGGCAGGGTCAGCATCCGGGCGCTGAAGTCATGGAATAAACTGGCTAGAAGATCCTGAGCTCGAGTGAGCAGCTCTCCGCGCCTTCCTCTTCCCCTAGAAGCCTGGTCTTTAGAGGCCAGTAGACGCGGGTTCTAAAGCCTCGCTGGACTGTAGCCCCCACGAGGGCGTGGTTCGTTTTCTGTTGTTCACCACTATATCCCGAGCGCCTAGATACTGTCTGGCACAAAGTAGGAACTCAATAAACATTAGTTGAATGAATGAATCAACGAATGAACGACTGCATTCCAAGCATCTTTTCATCTGTAGATACTCTACCTTGGAAGATTGTTGGATAATGAAATCACCTAGCAGTGAACTTGACGCACAGTAGGCACTCAACAAGTTGTATTTTTCTTTCCCATTAGCAGGTCACACGGTCCCTCCATCGCCGTCGAATTGATTCTGACTCATTGCCACCCCCCAAAAAGGGGTTTCTCTCCCTTCGGTCTTCTTCGCCCCAGCAGACCCCACTGGGTCCTGGGGAGCACGTGGGCCGGGGAGGGCGGGTTGGGGAGCAGAGCCGCTGGAAGGGGAGGGGGCGAGGGCCGGCGGCTCCAGCGGAGCCGGGCTCCCGGGTTACGTAAGGCGCGAGTCCCGCGCGGCCGGCCGGGGCGCGGAGTGGGGGCGGGCGGAGGCGGCGCCGCCCAGCGGGATCCGGGCTGGAAGCCACTCGGCGCGCGGCCTCTCAGCCGAGGTGTGTGCTTATTTGACTGCTCTTTGTAGGGAGGCGCCGAGCTCCGGCTCCTTACGAGCCCCGCGGAGGAGGAGCGCATCCCGGCAGCCCTCGGCGGAGGTGGGCGCTGGGCCGCCCGCTCGGCCGGCTGGCAGTAGCGACTGCTGCGAATCCCGGGAATGTGACAGCCGCGGGGGAGGGGCCGGGGCGCGAACTAAACGCTGCCCACGTGCGGCGACCCGGGCTGGGACTCAGCCCACAGGCCGGCTGGTGCGTGGGGGCGGTGGGTTGCGCGCTTCGACTCATCCCTTTCCCGGTTTTCTTGGCTCGGTGGAGACTGGCGTGGGAATGTCCAGCCTCCCGGCCCCCTCCTCAACCCGGCTGCTAGAGCAAGATAGAGGAAGGGATAGAGTTGGGGCTGGCCGGACCGACCTCTGGCCCCGCAGGCTGACCACGCTAGGGGCGGGGGCTCTGGAGTGCTGCAGAATCGCTGCGTGGGGGCGAGGAAGCTGACAAGGGCGGGGAGGTGTAGCGTGGCGCGCTACTCCGCCTTAGAGTCCGCCTGGGCGTAGGGCTGAGGGGAGGGGTTGTCTCAAAAGTCTTTTCTTCCCCTGCAGGGTGGCTGGAGAGTCCACGCGCGAGCGGAGGGTGCCGGGGACACGGGAAGAAGAAACAAAGTTCCCGGGGCTCCGTCCAGGGCCGCTGTCTTTTTAGCCGCCCCCCTCCTCGCGAAGGCAATGGCTTCCAAACTCCTGCGCGCGGTCATCCTTGGGCCGCCCGGCTCGGGCAAGGGCACGGTGTGCCAGAGGATCGCCCAGAACTTCGGCCTCCAGCATCTCTCCAGCGGCCACTTCTTGCGGGAGAACATCAAGGCGAACACGGGTGAGGGGCTGCGGGGGTGAGCCAAAGGGGAATCGGGTCAGGCCCTGGAGAGAAACGGCCGGAAAGGGGCCAGTTCTCCGCTGGTCCCCGGGCGCCCTTCCCCCGCCCGCGTGTGGTCGTGCAGGCTTGTACGTGACCGGTCGCATGCAGCCGACAGGCGGGCGGTCCGCGGCCGTGCGGGTTAACCGCGCCCGGGGAGGAGCCCGAGGCTCGCGGGGAGGATGGTAGGAGGTGCACAAGGCTCCTCTCTTCACCGGGCTCCTACGGAAAGCTGGTAACCACCCAGCGGAGGAAGCGAGAACCAGGCAACTGACAACCCTCGAAGCTTCCCTTGACGCTGCCGCCTTAAGGCAAAGCCGCCCTGCAGCCCATAGGCTCCTCCTGTCCCCCGTATCTCTGGGGAACTGCGGCGCCCTCTCCTATTTCCTGATCCCCGGAGGCCGAGCGCCGCCCACCTGTGGGAGCCGGGCCAGGCTACGCGCGGGGAACCTGTGGCGCTGCGGGGCTCCCAGCCGCGCACCTCTCCAGCCCCGCGCTGTCTCTGCCCCCGGGCCAGAGCCCTGGCGGCTCTGAAAGGCCTGTCTGTTCGCTGCCGCCTTCTAAGGTAAACTCTTACTACCAACTCCCCCTCCTCCCCAAGTAAACTCTTACTACCAACTCCCCCTCCTCCCCAAGCCAGGGCCCAGCCTTTAGGAGACTGGGAGACTTGTTCCGATAAATTACATTTTGAATCCAGCCTCCCTTGGCTTGCGTGGTGAAGTTAGGGACATAGATCGCCTGAGCTTAGTCTGGTCGTCCCCGAACCCCTCTCCTCCCACCCCACGTTCACACCAGTTTGTAATGAATTGGCATTAAAAGGCGAGGGGTAGCAGTTGTGCTGCTGCGAGGTACGTTACTCTTCTGGGATGCAGATGCTCATCATTAGTAACTCCGTTATGAAAACTTGTTACAGCAAATAGGGTGCTTTAATATCGCTACTGTTCTCATCGGTGTCCACGGTGGTTATTGTCCATCATGGGCTAATTATCCAGCCATCTTCATTTCAGAAGCACAAATTAGTCTGAAGAGGTGGGCGGAGGAATGTGCTAGAAAACAGAAGGAAAGCTTAAAAGCAAGAAATTAAGGATCTCAAAGGCAGAGTTTTAGTCTCTCTTAAACAAGTTGAAAAAGCAAGCTTGTATTTTGGTTTTCAAGAACATCCTACCCCCAGTCTCTCATAAGGAAGAGTTATGTGTACTACATTGTACCTTCAGTTTTCTCTTGTGTGTACTGTTACCTCATTTGGACCTATTTTAATTTTAATTTCACATGCAAAAGCGTTTTATTCTCTGTGTTTGGTATGTGGTTTTGAGGGAGAGAAGCTAGGCTCCCAACAATTGTTTTGTGTTTAGGTCTGGCTTCTCCAACAGTAGGGGAATGGAGACATAGTGACAGAAGGGAACAGCTAGGGTGTTAAAACAAACAAACAAACAAAAAAGGTCGCCATTTAGTTTATTCCAACTCTTAGCGACCCTATAGGACAGAGTAGAACTGCCCCATAGGTTTTCCAAGGAGCGGCTGGTGGATTTGAACTGCCAAGCCTTTGGTTAGCTGGCAAATGCTTAACCACTGTGCCACCAGGGCTCCGTAAAAAACCAAAAAACCAAACCCGTTGCATGGAATCTATTCCAACTCATAGCGACCCTATAGGACAGAGTAGAACTGTTCCCTAGGGTTTCCAAGGAGCAACTGGTGGATTCAACTGCTCACCTTTTGGTTAGCAGCGGTAGCTGATGTTGGTCTTAACCACTGCACCACCAGTGCTCCATAGAGCCCATTTATTAGTATTCTGTGTATCTGACTTGGTCACTTGCTTCCTTTGGGCATAAAGGGTTTTACACTATGCGTCCTGTGACTGAACTAGCAGCCCTTCCAATTTTTAAAGAGAGTGTGATAGGAAGTTGTTTATTTCTGCACTTTTCTGAGGGGTTCTGTTTTCCCTTGTTCTCTTTTTTTCATTTTAACTTTCCTCTGTTCTAACTTTAGTATTTCTTCTCTTTAAAATCCCTTCATTTCCCTTCCAGTATTTCCTCCTGGAGTAAAAAGTGACTATGAAATATTAAGATTATCCCCTTTTCTCTTTCTGTTGGGAGTCAAGTAGTTTTTGCATGGACCAGTTTAAACTGTTATCAGGGAAAGAAGGAGAAGAAAAAGGACAGCAATTTGTTTTGAAACTGGCTTGTTCTAGTGTGTGTGGGGTGGGAGTGTTTTCATATTATTTTTCTCTCTCAGAAGATCTAAGTAAGAATCTTGCAGGCTGACTGCCTGGTAAATAAGAAAACATTATACAGTATTTATTTTTCTATCTGTAACCTGCTGTTTGCTTTTAGCTAATTTCCTGATAGAGAAGCATAACAACCCTTCTGTATGTACCGTTTTATTGTCAAAGGTTTGAAGGAGATGATGAAGCACAACAAAACCCCAGGAAATAGAACTTTTGTAAGAATTTGAATTGGAAGGGAGCTCAGGCCATCTCCTTCGGCCTTGATGGAGTGCATTCTCCTGTTTACATGGCTTTCCTCCTCCTGCAGCCACTGCCTGGTACAAAGTTGCACTTGTAGGGAAGGGCCACTCTGATGTTGCAGCTTCTGGGAAGTCTTCCCTCACCTGCCATGGCAGAATTCATCTCTTTCCTCTATAGCTCTCTGATTCTTTTGCTGGTGTCACATACAGTTGTAATGCAGTGCAATAAATGTCTAATTCATTCAATAAACATTTACTGAGTACCTGCTATGGGTCAGGCAGTGTCCTAGATGCTGCTGGGGCTATAGCTGTGTTCAGGGCACTTCTGTGATCCTTGTCCCTTCTCCCTTCCCCATGCTACCACTTCCCACTGAGACTCAGGACAGGAATCTGCGAAGTATCTAATGCAGAAAAGGAGTTCAACAAGTTTGTGGTGAAGGCATGGGTCACAAATTCTGTATACATCCTCCCCAGAACAAGTTATACAGCCTCCAGTGATAGAGTCCATTCTGTTTAATTAGCTCTGGTTTATGGTAAAAGTTTGTACTTAACCCGGATTGGAGATTACCCTCATTATTGTTGTCACCCATTGGCACTTCCTAGGCTGCCTGGAGCAGTACAGGTTGAGACTTATCAAATACCTTAGTTGATGACCCCGCCCCAAATCTTTCAGATCTTTGGCTCATTCTCTTTAGCATACTGCACGAATAAATAGAGGAGAGAGTTCTCTTAGACTGCCAAGAGCTGGGTCCTAGAGTCTGTCATAAGGAATACTAGCTTCTCTCTGTGTGTGTGTGCATGTCTAAGAGTGCACACGTGCATGGGGCTGGCATTCAGTTGAGTAAGTCCCATTGAAAATTCTTCTGTTTAGTGATAGCTTCTTTTCTTGGGTGATGGGTGACTGAAACCTTCCTCTGAAGGATAGGAAAATTCTCTTTTAAGAAGTTTGACAAATCGTCGTGTTTTAAAAAATCACACTATTTTGTACTGGGTCTGCTATCTCAAGTGAAGGAAAATTGGCAGGTTTCCACTTGGAAGCATCCTGGATTTGATTGAGAGAAAAGCTGTTCAAGAACAAACCTGTTTCTGTCCTTAATTAATATTAACTGCAGCTCCTGCTGGAGTTTTACAGATGGGACTAGCATTTCAAATTATACTGTGGGCTGAGCTTTTCTTCTCTGAAAAGGTGACCTAGTTCAGAGGGTTCAGGGTACGCATTAAATATAAATGTGTCTTTTTTTATGCAAGGGTGAAAACTGACAATTGGAGGATAGAGAGATTCTATTATACTTGAGAGAGTTCAACGACGTATCTAAAACAACTTTAAATAGTTAACCTTTTTGTAGATCATACAGGGTCTTTGCTTATTACAGAGTTCTAGAATATGCAATAGTCTGTTTATTTTTCTAGCCTGGTGAGACATTGCCCACATCTGACAGGTTTTGAGGCCTCTATCCAGACTTCAGGTCCACTCCACATCTCTGTATTTTTTCTGCTTCCTATGTCTGAGGGTTTTCACATGTATTTGAAGAGCCCTACTTGATTCTTTCTTATTCTGTTTATTTTGTTGTTGGGAATATACACCGCAAAACAGACCAATTCAACAGTTTTTACATGTACAATTCAGTGACGTTCATTACATTTTTCAAGTTATGCAACCATTCTCACCTTTCTCTGCGTGGTTTCTCCCCCATTAACATTAACTCACTGCTCCCTAAGTTTCCTATTTGATTCCATATAGATAGTTCTTAAAAGAGCATAATGCTCAAGGCAGATTTTTTTTTACTAGTTAAGCTAATCTATTGTTTAGTTTTAAGATGACTTCAGGGGATATTTTTGGTTTAAGATTGAAAACCTTATTATCTTAGGGCAGTAGTTTCAGGGGTTCATCCAGCCTCCATGGCTCCAGAAAGTCTGGAGTCCATTAGAATTTGAAGTTCTATCCTGTATTAGCTCCCTTTTGATCAGGATTTTTCTATAGACTCTTTGATCAAAATGTTCAGTAATGGTATCCAGGCACCATCCAGTTCTGTTCTCATGGCAGAGGGGGCAGTTGTTCATGGAGGCAATTAGCCACACATTCCATATCCTCCTATTCCTGACTCTCCTGCTTCCTCTGTTCCTCCAGGCAAATAGAGAACAATTGTTATGCCTTGCATGGCTGCTTGCAAGTCCCATGAGGTGTTTGATTATACATAAGCAGCCTCAGCAGTTACTTTTTTTTTTTTTTGTCATTGTAAATATAGCTATTGCACAACTTTTTTATCAGTTCAGCTTTTTACAGTGTCCTACTGGATTCTTGAATAAAGCATCCCCTGACAGTAAATCTCCCCTTAGCCATATGCACATCTGCATCTTTGAGCATTCTTCCAGTATGGTCATTTTTTAAAAGTAGTCTTTTCTCAAAGTCATGCCTTATAGGAAAATTTAACATGTGAAGCTGTATGAAGAAGAAAGTAAAAATTACCCTTAATACCACCTAGAGACTTTAAAATACT